TTCCTTGTCTTTTCTTTTTCTTTGTTGCTGTTGTTTTGGGTATCTATTCAGGGCTCTTTTTGTGGACAGTGGTGGGGAAGATCTCTTTTCTTATATACCTGGTGATCAGAAAAAGTTCTTAAAAAAAGAACGCCAACAAAACTGTTAGGAATGAAAGTTCAAACTCCAAAGTTTGCAGAAACGTGGAACAACATCCACCTGGATTCAGTATGCATTAATATCAATAGAATATGACTACCACAATCAAAGTTACAAGCTATCTTTCAGATATCCCCAATATCGAGAAAAGCACACTTTGACACGATGAATGAAATCGGCAATCACCCGTTGACACTGCTCGAGAGAAATCTCTTTTGAGCCCTTCGTAGTGGTTTCTCTCAAGTCTTGGATACTCTCAAAGGTTTTCCCACACATCTCGTCCTTCAAACTCTCCCAATGGTGAAAGTCCACTGGACTCACAGGTTCGGATTGTTTGGGGTCAGTTGTGCTCAGGCGGACTGAATGTCCTGTAATCAAAATGATTGTTGACCCAACCCAGAACAGCGTCGTGAGGAGAGCAACACCATGCTGCTGGAAGTGCTGGTTCTTTATTCCTTCATCACCTATAAATTAACGTCCAAAGCCTCTCCGCAATTTTGGAAAGAAGACGATGTATCAGTCTAAAGACGGAACATCGTTACCTTTTCAAGAGTGTGTTGTTTTTTTCGCGATGCCTACCGTATATTTCTGAGTACTTGAAATTCAGATCTTATTTTCCATTGACCAAAACCTTCTACAACGTGCAGCCCATTATAAAATGGACTTTTTGCTTTGAAAAGTATGTTTGTTTCAGATATAAAATATCTCGTATTCCTGAGCGAATCATCCCCATATATGTCAATTTGGGAAAATTTGTTTGGTGGTCAAAAGTTAAGAAGAACGTTGTACAGAGATTAACTGCTTTATCATTTTCCGTTGTGCAACAGCAATGAAGTTTTTGGAAAATATAATCCGGATATATGTTGCAGCTTTCGGTCAGTTTTGATGTCAATTGAGTCATAAATAAGAAAATTAAAAATATTTCTCTGAACGGACTTTTTTACTAGTCAGCTGGTATGTCATGCATATTATTATTTTCCTCAAGGCACCTTGAAACCACTAAGCATAGCTGGATTTATCGTCTTGGGCCTGGGTCTGTTGCTTCATCTCGTGGGCCTGGCCACACCCGAGTGGATTCTCATGAGAATAATGCCCGGCAGGACGGAAGGATTGTTCCAAGGATGTTTGGGAAACGGGGAGTGCGTGGAGTTGACGTACATACCATGTGAGTTGTTGTCGTATTGGTGTCTCTCCTTTGGAGGATGGATAGTGCTGACCAGTGCACAATTTATCCAAATGTAACCTTTATTGGGCCTGTTGCATTCTACGCCCACATACTAAAGATCTGCCCCCATAATGTTTTGTAGCTTTCTGATTGGTTGTTTCCAGCCAACGTCAGTATAGTATTTGTTTTTTATTTTGTTTGGCTTTTAAATAAATTTGAGCTATACATTTTTGACATAAACAAAGAATGTAGCAGCTGTCAAATGTATGAAATTTAAATGGAGATCTGACGAAACTTTCTGCAATGTGCACTGGGTATTAACTCTCAGAAGTTGGGGCGTCTACTGGCTGGATGCTGCATTATTGTTTCTTCATTCATCAGAAATATATGCTTGTCTGTACTACAACTACAACTGTATCTTCATATACCAAATTTTTCTTCCTTTCTATAGAATTTGGTGGGTATAAAATAATGGACATGCTTGTAGCTTAAAATGTGTCTTTCTTCTGGTGAAAATGCCAACAGTTACATAATATCATTTTAAACTAATCTTGCTGCAGCAAAACAGGAAACAGACACACGACTTGTACGAGTTAACCGATCTTGTGTTCTTTGTAAATCTACAATCGTGTATTGTTCATCCCCAGCAAACATCAAGGCAGTCCGGGCTATGGTGATCCTAGGTTTGATCCTGGGTGCTGTGGGAAGTGCCTGTGCGCTAATGCATCTCATCTGTAGCTTCATGTCACGGGAGACTAAAGCTGTGGTGCCACTCGTTGTCATGGGAACCTGCTTGGCAGCTTGTAAGTTGCCTGGTGAAAAAATTGTGAAATGGTATGGGTTTAACGCCCCTATCAACACTATTAGGTTATTTAAGGGCGGGACCTCCTGATTTAACGTCCGTCTCCGATAGGACCGAGCTAAGTGGGAAGTTCGTGTTAAGTGCTTTTCCCAAGGACAAAATGTCGGACCGAGCTGAGGCTCGAACCCCCGAACCCGCAATCTCAAGATTACGAGTCCGGTAGCTTAACCACTAGGCTACCGACGCCACGTAAGTTGCTTGTGGCACGTGATGTGGTTTTGGTTATATTTAAGAGGAAAGGCTTATAGTAAACAGGAAAAGCCATTTTGATGGTGCTGTTTGATTGTTGGTTGATTCTTTATTTTCTTTTTTGAAGGCGTTTGACACTCAACAAGACCATAGTATCTTACTGAAGCAACTCTGTTTTCAAACCGCTGCACTCTGTTAAACATTTCCAAACTTAATTTGGCAATTAAAAAATAAGAATTACAGTAGTCAATTGGATAAAAAGAAATGCTGAGATGAGAATCTGGACAGAATTTTAACCCAAAAGGTGAGAAATTTGACCTACATAAACAATATATATACACATATATATATATATATATATATATATATATATATGATGCAAGAGCTGGCCGTCAAGTGACAAGTGTAGCGCAAAAAATTTTCTGATCTGGAGACAAAGAGCAGAAATGTTGCTGTTCAGGCAAGACCAATTTGAAAAACAAGAATGATTAGGACTTTGATCCAAGAATCTACCAGACTGGTCATCCTCTTCCGTAGAGAAGGAGGGGAGAAAGGGGGGGGGGGAGAGAGAGATTAAGATAGAGATAGAGAGAGGGGGGAGAAATAGATAACATGGTGATGAGGGAGGGATGAAACAAAATTCGGAGCAATTAGAAAATAAGCGAAAAAATAGAACGAGAAGACGAGCAAGTTACCAATGATTAGGACAATACAATAAATCATTGTACTGTACATTACTCATAATACAAGTATTTATTATTATTCTTTGCTGATTTTCAATGCTTGTTTTTCTACCACAGTTAGCTTCATCATAATCGGCGTCATCGTTTACGCGGCGGACTACTATGGCGTGTTGCGAAAGTCCTTCGATCTTGGCTACTCCTTCGCTCTTTGTGTCGTGGGGGGCATTCTTTTGGCAAGCGGAGGTGCACTCTTCTTTTTGGGAGAAAGGAAAGACAGCTCGGAATGAATCTTGAATTTATATGAAATAATGCTAATACTGTTATGGTGAAAATGCTCGCATGTCGTATTCTGCCTCTGTACATTATACCAATATATTTGTAAGAATGGGAAACCGTTTGTGTGATGTTATTTTTAAGTTGAAGTGTCCAAGAATATGCCTCCACCCCCACACCCTTTTACACTAAGCTCAATATTTCCGTGCAATAATTTCTACTTTTTTTTCAAGTGGCCTCTGTCAAGTTCACAGCATGCTTCTTATTACTTTTTAAGAAATGTTATCTGATTTTGTTTATAGTATCCGTAGTTGTTATTGTTTATGGTTATTTTACGTAGGCCCTATACATGTATTTCAAGAGATAGAATCTAATCAATTCTAAATCTTGTCAGAATGTTGTTGTCAGTACAGTAGTCTCCGCCTAAGATCCCGGTGCTCGGAAGCAAGGTAAATGTGGGATCTTGAGTGAACGGGATCTTAACCAACGCACCAGGGGAAGAATCTACGGGTGACCCATGTTAAGGCCCACAACCGGTAAAATGATCTCCCTTCGCTCTAAAAATGAACTGGCGTGACCCCTTGGTGGGTTTATGACATATGACGAGCAAAGGGAGGTCAACCCTGATGACCAATCACAGTGGCATGAGGAATGCCATTTTCACTTATCGTGAGTCTCGAGATCTTTGTTTATCCGGATATCCAGTTGCCCCTCACATTTATCTGTCAACAATGTATAACTTTCCATCTATGACCGAGTTCCTTCACACCTCGGTGTGATCCCGTCTAGGGCAAACATTGCACCGTTTCATAGAGTGATCACATTCACGAGAGTGGCTGATCAGTGACGCGATGGGCAGTTCAATTATCTCAACTTTTCACTCTTTGTTGATTGGCTGTGCCTGCCCTGGCTTTTAATCCATAAATTATTATCTGAAATGCGGGATCACAGCCGAATGTAGACCTTCAGAGGGAATCAGAGCGGGATCTTGAAGGTGACTTTATGGGGGGTAAAAATCCAGTTTCCTTCTGATCTTGAGTGAACCGGGATTGTAAGCGATAGGCGGAGACTACGTTCATCCAACCACCATTAGTCAACCAGGAATGGAGTAACAACGATAGCATAGCAATTCAGTTATAAAAATAAAATAACCAAGAGCCTACCTAAGCAGGAGACATAACGTTGTCATGTGCCTGTGTGTACATCAGGGGCGAAGGCTGACTTGTTTGACAAGGTAATCAAAGTGAAACGGGACCAGATATGGCCTGGGGATATCACACAAGAACCTTTCTCG